GATTATAGGCGTGAGCTACCGTGCCCGTCCTATTTTTTTTATATTTATTATTATTATTATTATTATTATTATTTTGAGACGGAGTTTCACTCTTGTTACCCAGGCTGGAGTGCAATGGCGCGATCTCGGCTCACCGCAACCTCCACCTCCTGGGTTCAGGCAATTCTCCTGCCTCAGCCTCCTGAGTAGCTGGGATTACAGGCACGCGCCACCATGCCCAGCTAATTTTTTTTGTATTTTTAGTAGAGACGGGGTTTCACCATGTTGACCAGGATGGTCTCGATCTCTTGACCTCGTGATCCACCCGCCTCGGCCTCCCAAAGTGCTGGGATTACAGGCTTGAGCCACTGCGCCTGGCTATTATTTTTTAAGACAGGGTTTCTCCATGTTGGTCAGGCTGGTCTTGAACTCCCGACCTCAGGTGATCTGCCCGCCTTGGCCTCCAAAGTGCTTCGATTACAGGCATGAGCCACCATGCCTGGCCTTTTTTTTGTTGTTGTTGTATTTTTAATAGAGACGGGGGTTTCACCATGTTGGCCATGCTGGTCTCGAACTCCTGACCTCCTGATCCGCCCGCCTCAGCCTCCCAAAGTGCTGGGATTACAGGTGTGAGCCACTGCGTCTGGCCCAGGTAGTAATTTTTTTTATTGGGGACTGTTTTTGCTACCCTTAATGGCAGTGATGGCCCCATTTTAAGCAACCCACATTACGCCTGGGTTACAGAGCCTCTGGGGGTCCTTCCCAGCCCAGGCCAATCGGCACATCCCACTCCTGGGCTACTAGGACTAGGTCAGGGAAGAACATGGGATCCAGGCTGGTCCAATCAGAGCAAATGGGTTTTGACTGGGAGATGCTCTCTTTTCTCCTGGTGGTGATCTTGGGACACCCACCGCACCCCAGTCTCAGGGGAGCAATCAACCAGGTCTTTAGAAATCACTGGGAGTGGCTGGATCAGCCCTTACCTGAAACTGGTGAACCGTTAAGCTGGCTTTCATTACAAGGAATGAGGCGGAAGTTACAATCCTCAGGTCTCACCTTCCTTCCCTTCCTTCTCCCTTCTTCCCTTTCCCTTTCCTTCCCTTTTTTTTCTTCCTTTCTCTGTCTTTTTTTTTTTTTCAAGATGGAGTTGCACCTTTGCTGGCCAGGCTGGCGTGCAGTGGCAGGATCTTGGCTCACCAGGACCTCTGCCTCCCAGGTTGAAGCCATTCTCCTGCCTCGGTCTGCTGAGTAGCTGGGATTACAGGCATGCGCCAACCACACCCGGCTCATTTTTGTACTTTTTTTTTTTTTTTTTTTTTTTTTTTTTTTTTTTTTGAGACAGAGTTTCGCTCTCGTTACCCAGGCTGGAGTGCAATGGCGCAATCTCGGCTCACCGCAACCTCCGCCTCCTGGGTTCAGGCAATTCTCCTGCCTCAGCCTCCTGAGTAGCTGGGATTACAGGCATGCGCCACCATGCCCAGCTAATTTTTTGTATTTTTGGTAGAGACGGGCTTTCACCATGTTGACCAGGATGGTCTTGATCTCTTGACCTCGTGATCCACCCGCCTTGGCCTCCCAAAGTGCTGGGATTACAGGCTTGAGCCACCGCGCCCGGCCATTTTTGTACTTTTTTTTTTTTTTTTTTTGAGACGGAGTTTCGCTCTTGTTACCCAGGCTGGAGTGCAATGGCGCGATCTCGGCTCACCGCAACCTCCGCCTCCTGGGTTCAGGCAATTCTCCTGCCTCAGCCTCCTGAGTAGCTGGGATTACAGGCACGCGCCACCATGCCCAGCTAATTTTTTTTTGTATTTTTAGTAGAGATGGGGTTTCACCATGTTGACCAGGATGGTCTCGATCTTTTGACCTTGTGATCCACCCGCCTCGGCCTCCCAAAGTGCTGGGATTACAGGCTTGAGCCACCGCGCCCGGCCCATTTTTGTACTTTTTAGTTGAGATGGGGCTTCATCATGTTGGTCAGGCTGGTCTCAAACTCCTGACCCCAGGAGATCCATCCACCTCGGCCTCCCAAAGTGCTGGGATTACAGGCGTGAGCCACCGCGTCGGCCGAGGTCTGAGCTTTCAAAGCCAACATTTAGCCCCGACAATTTTTGTGAGTGATTTACTTGGGGTCAGGGGACTGATTCTGGCAGACCCCCAAGGGAAATAGATGCTCAGGATGTGGAGGCAGGATGGCCACCTGCCCCGGGGATGGGACACCAGAAAGCAGAGGAAAGCGATCCAGGTGTCTGCCGTCCTCGGTGGAGAGTCAGCAGAGGGTGAGAACTCTGACGGCCCTGGGTTCTGATCTCGGCCCTTCCTGCATGTACCATGTGTGTCCTCAGACAATGTCTTAACGTCTCTTCGGCTCAGTTCCCCAGCCTGCCGTACGGGGCCTACTTTATGGATTGACTGATTGAGACAGAGTCTTGCTGTTGCCCAGGCTGGAGTGCAGTGCAGCTACCTCGGCTTGCTGCAACCGCCACCTCTTCCTGCCTCAGCCTCCCTAGTACCTGAGGTTACAGGCACGCACCACCATGCCCAGCTCATTTGTGTATTTTTAGTAGAGATGGGGTTTCACGAGGTTGGTCGGGCTGGTCTTGAACTCCTGACCTCATGGTCCACCTGCCTCAGCCTCCCAAAGTGCTGGAATTACAGGTATGAGCCGCCAGGCCCAGCCAGGACCTACTTCATTTTTCTGAAACGGGGTCTCATTCTGTTGCCCAGGCTGGAGTATGTTGGTGTCTTCATCGGTCACTGTAGCCTCAATCAGTCCTCCTGCTTCAGCCTCCCCAGCAGCAGCCTGGACTAAACACCACCATGCCTGGCTTATTTATTTATTTATTTATTTAGAGACAGAATCTCACTTTGCTGCCTAGGCTGATGTCAAACTCCTGGGGTCAAACAGTCCTCCCGCCTTGGCCTCCCAAGGTGCTGGGATTACAGGCCTGAGCCACCACACCCGGCCAGGTAGGACTTTAGATAGGTCCTACTTTGGATGTTGACTGGGAGGGAGATGCTCTTTTTTCTCCTGGTGGTGATCTTGGGACACCCACCCCACCCCAGTCTCAGGGGAGCTATCAACCGGGTCTTTAGAAATAATTGGGAGCTGCTGGATCAGCCCTCACCTGAAACTGGTACAGCTTTAAGATGGCCTTCATCTTAAGAGAGCCGTTTTTCCTCCTTTATTATTATTATTATTATTTTAGTTTAATTTTTTGAGACGGAGTCTCACTCTGCTGCCCAGGCTGGAGTGCAGTGGCACGATCTCAGCTCACTGCAACCTCTGCCTCCCAGGTTCAAGCAATTCCCCTGCCTCAGCCTTCCAAGGAGCTGGGATTACAGGTGCACGCCACCACACTCGGCTTTTTGTATTTTTAGTAGAGACGGGGTTTCACCATGTTGGCCAGACTGGTGTTGAACTCCTGACCTCAGGTGATCCGCCCACCTCAGCCTCCCAAAGTTCAAGGCCTCCCAAAGTGCTGGGATTACAGGTGTAAGCCACCAGGCCCGGCCTATTATTCTTATTTTTCTTCCATCCATGGGCATCTAAGTTTTTCCTCCTTTAGAGGGCTGTTGTGTAAACAGGAAGTGCATTTAACCACAGCAAATGGTGTCTGGCATACCGCAGGTGCTCAATAAATGATCACTGGCACTGTCTCCCAGGAGGCAGCTTTGAGGGCACCTGCTGATTTAAATCCACTCCTCTGATGCAACAGGACAGCCCAACAGGACAGTCACACGACAGCCCAATGGCTGTCACCTGTGGCACTGTCCAGTCCCTAATGAAACCAGACGGCAGGTGAGTGAAAAGCAAGAGACGGGAGACACCCACCCTCGGGAGCAGAGCCCTCCCACCCATGGTGCCACGGAAGCAGCAGGAGCCCCATGGCAGGGCCTCTCCCCACTGCCATGTGAGATGAGGACACAGGGATTCACCAAACGTTGGTATCAACAGCTCAGTCCTTATCCCCAGGGGGGCCTGGAACCCTCCTGGCAATATGTCGGGGGCTCAGCTAACGGGGAGCTGCTTTCTGTCTGGTGGGGGTTTGACTGTTCTAATATGGAGAAAACCAGAATTTTAGAATGGAACAACTTTACACAAGGAGGTGAGATCAGATGGCAGATAAAGAAAAAAAATTAAAGGGCGCGGCGCAGTGGCTCACGCCCATAATCCCAGGATTTAGGGAGGCTGAGGTGGGTGGATCACTTGAGGTCAGGAATTTGAGATCAGCCTGGCCAATATGGTGAAACTCATCTCTGGTGGGGTGCGGTTGCTCACACCTGTAATCCCAGCACTTTGGGAGGCCAAGAGTTCGAAACCAGCCTAGCCAGCATGGTGAAACCCCATCTCTACTAAAAATCCCAAAATTAGCCAGGCATGGTGGTGCGCACCTGTAATCCCAGCTACTGGGGAAGCTGAGGTAGAATTGCTTGAACCCGGGAGGTGGAGGTTGCAGTGAGCAGAGATCACGCCACTGCACTCCAGCCTGGGCGACAGAGTAAGACTCCGTCTCAGAAAAAAGAAACCCTGTCTCTACTGAAAATACAAAAATTAGCTGGGCGTGGTGGCGCGCTACTCGGGAGGATGAGGCTGGAGAATCGCTGGAACCCGGAAGCGGAGGTTGCTGAGATTGCGCCACTGCACTGCAGCCTGGGTGACAGAGATCCTGTCTCAAAAAAATAAAAATAAAAGGCCCCAGTTATAACACAGAAACTCCTGTAGCAAGGGGAGGCGGCCCTAGGGCTCTCTGTTCACTCAGACCAACGCCATGGGCTTCCCCACACGTCTCCAACTCACCCCACCGCCCCCCATCAACCCACACCAAAGATGCATCAGGCGGTTCTCTTCAAATAATCTCTTTAATGACTTAAACACCAGCGCGGAGACTCACGATGTAAATGGCCTCGTTTCTGTGTTTTGGGAGGGACAGGGACAGCGTTTCCCACCTTGGCTGAGTTAAGTGAAAACCTCGTCTTGTAAATAAATAATTTCCTAACTAACACGGCAAAAAAAAAAAAAAAAAAAAAAAAAAAAAAAAGAGAGAGAGAGAAAAAGAAAAATCCAAACGAGACCTCGTTTCCCTCTGGGGACAGGATGTTTCTGGACACCCATGGTCGCTGCTCCTCCTAAGGGCCTGGCAGTGGCTACCACGGGGAGGGTGTGGTAAGAACGGCCTCCCTTCTGCTATTCGCGGCTCTGCGACGCCGGCCAGGAACCTGCTCACACCCGCCGGGGCTGATGCAGTCTCGCTCTTGGGAACAGTCTCGCTGGGACAGGTCCCCTGGCAGCTGCAACGCTTCACCCTAGGGATGGGAACCACAGACGCTGTGCAAACCTCACTGGCAGGCCGGTCTTGACACTCACCGTCTTAGCTGGTGGATTTGTCGCATTAAGACCGTTCTCGGGCCTTTTTCGTGAAGACTCGGGTCCCGGTCCTCCGAGCAGCTGAAAAACAGCTCGGGCCGCCTGTGGACGCGCTGACAATGAAATCAGCGGCCATGCGGGGTTTGCCAGGCACACTGGCCTGTGGTTTTAACTCGGGAGCTACAGCAATGCAGCCCCAAACCAACTGCCAGTTCTTGCTGGGTGGCAAAGTGGGACGAGGCTGGGCGGTCACTACCGATTTCTGCCTGGCAGAACGGGTCTCTTTCTCAGGAGGATGTAAAATCGGAAGGCCTGTAAAAGGCTGTCGAGTAGTGCTTTATAAAAATGTCCGGTCGCCTGTCTATTCTAGGGACCGACACGGTGGACTTTCGTGTCACTCATCAAATTCCTCACAGAGAGCTCACTCTCTGTGGCCTCCTCAGCCACGTCAGGCACCACGAAATCCTCACTGCTTGAAATTCACTTATGGAGTCCAACAACTTTCTTTAAAAAAAAAAAAAAAAAAAAACAAGGCAGTAAAATCTCCGAACTTCTGTGCAAAGCTTGCAGCCTGCCCACTAGTAAACACAACAGCAAACCAACCCAAAGCTATGCAAATGGCAGGCTGACCTGGGCAGAGCCCTGCCCCTCTGCCAGGGACGATGGCAGTACCGGGGCAGGGCGTGATCGTGCTCAAAGAAACCAGGGGTGGTCTCACCCCTTGACTTTCAGGCTGTAATCTCGGGAGCTCCTAGTCCCAACACTGCATTCAGCACCTGGAGTTACCCGACCACGTAAAGGGGCAAGCGGACACAGACTGCCCTCAGCTTCTTCCTGTGCTTCTAGCAGGGAAGGAACGCGATCGCTTCCGTCCCTCCACCTCTAGGTAACAAGGCAAAGGCCTGCGTAACCTGGGCAGACAGGACGTGGGGAAGGTCCTGTGTTTTTTTTTGGTTTTTTCCCCCCCCCCAACTCAGAATGAGCGAGCAGGCTCCTAGAGAAAGAGCGTTCTCTTAGCACGTGACCCTGACGGCTTCTAGCACCAAAGGCTCGCTAACTCCTCCGACCCTGTCTGCAGGTCAAGGGGATGGGAGGCAGAAGCAGCCTTCACCAGATGCGTGGCTGAAGGAGGCACGAACGAGTATCTGCTGCCTCCCAGCCCATCGTCTCCCCCTCAGAAGGGAGAAGTGAGCGGCGTGTGGACGTTCAGGGCAGGTCAGTGCAGCTCAATGAACGCCTCCAGCTCCTCCGGGATGAAGCCCTTGTATGGGATCTTGTTTTTGTCTAGGGCCCGGGCCGCAAGGCACTGCAGGGTCACGTAGTTGAAGGGCTGCATGGTGCCCCTGGCCAGCAGCTTCTCGTCCAGCAGTTCGTAGGCTGTCTTCTTAAAGGCGTTGGTGGCGTCCATGTGGGCCCCGGCTTCCATCAGCGCGTTCATGATGGCCGGGCAGTTGTTCTGGGCTGCTATGTGCAGGGGAGTGTTGTTGTCAAAATCCCTGCTGTCCGGGTCGGCCCCGCAGTCCAGCAGCACTTTGACCACGGGCAGGGAGGGGAATACGCCCACGGGGTAGCGGCCCACCTGTGTGGTGTCCTTGTCCACAGCCATGTGCAGAGGCGTGAAGCCGTTCTTGCCGCGGGGCGCGCACTTGAGCAGGCGGTAGACGGTCTGGTGCTTCAGGTGCTCCTGGCTGGGGGCGCACTCCACTTTCTCCAACAGGCAGAGCAGGTGGAGGATGATGGCCAGCGCCTTGGTGAACTGCGCCGAGTCTCCGGGCTCCTTGGCGAGCTGCAGGGCGCGTTCCACTTCCCGGACCCCTTTGGTGAGAACCCCCATGAGGTCTGCAAAGCCGATCTGTGTGCCCAGGCTGCCCTTGGCCGCCCGGTCCTGCAGCACGTAGGAGAAGAGTTCGGCGAAGGAGAGGAAGCTGCTGGCGGTCATGGGGCTCAGAGGCTCCAGGTTGCTCTGCTGCATGTCCAGGGCGTACTTCCACAAGCGGATGCAGCGCTCAAAATGGCCCGAGTCGGCGTACACGGCGCCCCTGTAACGGATATAGTAGGAAGTGTCCGGGTGGGAGGGACCCAGGATGCGCTCGCGGATCAACAGGGCCTGCATGCGCATCTCGTCGGGGTCGGTGATCAGCGCCTCCAGCTCCTCGGTGCTGTTGACCTCCCTGGAATAGTCATAGGCCAGGACCAGCTGCGGGGGCTCCGGTTTGGGCAGGTACTCGCCCCCCTGGTGACGCAGCTCCATGGCCCGCCTCCAGTGTTTAAGGGCACCAAGCAGATCTCGTTTCTTATCCACGTACGTGGCTCCCAGCAATTCCAAGGCTTCCACGGCAGCTTCTCGGCTGGTGGGACAGCAGCTTTCATAAGACTCCCCGTTCAGTGGTTCCTCCGGGGAGGAGCGGCAGCATGGAGCCCCCCGAGGCTGTGCACACCCCTGGCTGGTGGAGGGGCCTTCTTGGGGAAGCCCAGGCTGAGCCTCTCCCCCTGCGACCTGCTCCTGGCCGGGCTGCTCCTGGATGAGGTACTCCACGATGTTGGTGTGGCCCGTAACGCTGGCCGCGAGCAGAGGGGTCATGCCGTAGCCATCACGTTCCATGCGGGCCTTGCACCCCAGCAGCAGCTGCAGGATCTCCAGGCTGCCGGACTCGGCGCAGTCGTGCAAGGCCGTGTTGCCCTTGGCGCTGCGCCGGTTCACCTGGGCGCCCTGCTCCAGCAGGTAGCGGGCGATCTCGCGGTGGCCCTTGTAGCACGAGATCATGAGGCACGTGTGGCCGTGCCGGTTCGCCACCTCCAGGTCGGCCTGGTGCTCGCCGACCAGGTAGCGCACCACCTCCAGGTGGCCGTCGAAGCAGGCGGCGCGCAGGGGCGTGGAGTTGGTGCGCGTGGTGCGGTTCACCGAGGCCCCGCGGCGCAGCAGGCTCCGCACCACATCCAGGTGGCCCGCGGCGGAGGCGGCCCACAGCGGCGGCGCGCCCTCGATGGTCTCTCCATCGAAGTGTACCGAGCCACCGGCCTCCACGCTCGCGCCGCACCGGTCCACCAGGTACTCCACCACGTCCAGGTGGCCGTAGCGGGCGGCGATGAGCAGCGGCGTCCCCCCGCCGGCCACCTCGCCTGTCAGTTCGTCCAGTTCCTCCCGGCTCCGGCCGCTGAGCAGCTTCTGGAGCAGCTGCAGCTTGCCGTCACGGGCGGCGTTGTACACGGCGGTGCGGAGGTCCATGGTCCGGGCCTCCGCCAGGCCATGGGCCGGCCGCCGGGGGACGGGGAGACGGAGGATCAGAGCCCGGACGGGCTGGAGGCAACCTTCACCGTCTCCCTCGCCGCCATCTTAGGGGCTCCTCGGGGGGAACAAAATGGCTGCCGCGACCCGACAGATGGGAGCACGCCGGGAAATGGAGTCCTCTAGGCGGGCCCACTCTGTATAACAAAGAAGGAATCTTGGGGACTCAAGACTACGCTTCCCAAGAGGCCACAGGCCAGCCTTTGCGAGCTGTGAGCGCGCGGCATGATGGGAATTGCCGTTCCAATCACAGCGCGCGGCAGCGGAAGCCAGCAATTTGAGGACTACAATTCCCTTTATGCCGTGCGACACGACCTACCTTGTGGGAACCGGCGAAATTTGGTGACGTACTTCCTGTGGCTGTCTCTGCATCAGAGCCTATTGAGAAAGCGGACGCGGTACCGTTAATGACTACATTTCCCAAAAGGAATCGCGAGCGACTCAGCCAATCAGGACCGAGAGCGAAGGCTAAGAGTGGCCAGAGCGGGGCGCGTCTGATTCGGAGCGTAAGCGAGCGGCGCACCGGCAGGGGGCGTCGGGAGGAGGCCGAAAAGCGGGTCAGGGCCAAAAGGTTTTGAGCTGAGGACAGGCAGAGGTAAGGGTCAAAATCTCGCGCCCACTTCTCACTGGTACGATCATTTATTCATTCATTTACACACATGTATTTCTATGCTAGCATGTGTCAGAATTGCCTTCCCTTATGTTATTGACGTATTTATTTTATTTCTTCTCTTTCAATCACTTTGTTTTGTTTTTGTTTTTGACACGGAGTCTCCCAGGTTGCCCAGGCTGGGGTGCCATGCCGCAGTCTCGGCTCACGGCAACCTCCGCCTCGCGGGCTCAAGAGATCCTCCTGCCTCAGCCTCTCGAGCAGATGGGACAACAGGTGTCCACCACCACACACAGCTAATTTTTGTATTTTTAGTAGAGGCCGGGTTTTGCCATGTTGGCCAGGCTGGTCTCGAACTCCCGGCCTCAGGCGATTCGCCCTCCTTGGCTTTCGAAAGTGCTAGGATTACCGGCGTGAGCCACTGCGCCCCGTCTGACATGCTGATTTCAATTCCTTTGGATAAATACCCAGAAGTGGGATTGCGGGATCATCTGGTAGTTCAATATTATATATTTTTGGACAGTCCATACCTTTTTCTATAATGGCAATACTAATTAAAATTATCATAAATAAGGCCAGGAGCAGGGGCTGACGCCTATAATCCCAACACCTTGGGAGGCTGAGGCCAGTGGATCATAGGGTCAGGAGTTTGAGACCAACCTGGCCAACATAGAGAAACCCCTTCTCGACTAAAAACACAAAAATTAGCTGGGCGTGGTGGTGCGCACCTGTAATCCCAGCTGCTCGGGAGGCTGAGGCAGGAGAATCTCTTGAACACGGGAGGCAGAGGTTGTGGTGAGCAGAGATCACACCACTGTACTCCAGCCTGGGCCACAGAGTGAGACTGTTACCTTTCATCTTTTTGATAACAGCTATTCTAGCAATTGTAAGGTGATCCGTTTCCCTGCATTATTTGACAACAATGAATTTATTTTATGGAAAAGAAATCTTTGGCTGGAATTCTTTATTTTTAAAGTTTATTCGAGATGTAATATACATACACTAAAATGCATTTTTAATCCAGAGGACAGGTTTGGCCAGGGAAGGTGACTCACATCTGTAATCCCAGCACTTTGGGAGGCTGAGGTGGGAGGATCACTTGAGCCCAGGAATTCAAGACCAGCCTGGGAAACATAGGGAGACCCCATCTCTCCACAAAAATACAAAAATTGGCCAGGTGTGGTGGCGTGCACCTGCTGTCTCGGCTACTTGGGAGGCCGAAGTGGGAGGATCACTTGAACCTAGGAGGTCAAGGCTGCAGTGAGCCGCCATGATTACGCCGTTGCACTCCAGCCTGGGTGACAGAGGGAGACCCTGTCTCCAAGATCAATCGATCAGTCAATCGATAGAACAGTTGTGACAGTCATGCAGTTATGTAGCCAGTATCACAACCGAGAGGTTCAACAGCGTCGTCATTCAGAATGCTATCTCATGCCCTTCTGGTCAACGCCTTTGTCCACCCGCAGCCACTGGTAACTGATGATCTGTTCTCTGCATTTCATAATAAGAGCATATAAATGGGAAAATGCAAGATGTGCTCTGGGGTCTGCTGTGTTCATTCAGCACAATGCATTGGAGATGTATCTATGCTGTTGCAGGTATTAGGGGCTCACTGACTTTTATTACGGAGCTGTATTCCATGGCAAGAAAGATCCACTATTCTTTTTTTTTTTGTTTTGAGACAGAGTGTCGCTCTTGTTACCCAGGCTGGAGTGCAATGGCACGATCTCGGCTCACCGCAACCTCCGCCTCCTGGGTTCAAGCAATTCTCCTGCCTCAGCCTCCTGAGTAGCTGGGATTACAGGCACGTGCCACCATGCCCAGCTGATTTTTTGTATTTTTAGTAGAGACGGGGTTTCACCATGTTGACCAGGATGGTCTCGATCTCTCGACCTCGTGATCCACCCGCCTCGGCCTCCCAAAGTGCTGGGATTACAGGCTTGAGCCACCGCGCCCAGCCAAGATCCACTATTCTTATCTCCATTACGTGATGGCTCTTTCCAGTTTTAGATGATTAAAAATAAAGCTGCTATAAACTTTAGCGTACAGGTCTTTGTGTGGAAATATGTTTTCATTTCTCTTGGGTAATGCCTAGGAATGTAAGTATGCTTTTTTCTTTTTCTTTTTCTTTTTTTGAGTCTGAGTATTGCTCTATCACCAGGCTGGAGTGCAGTGGCATGATCTCAGCTCACTGCAACTTCCAACTAACTCCCTAGTTCAAGTGATTCTTCTGCCTCAGCCTCCCAAGTAGCTGGCATTACAGGTGTGCGCCACCACATCCAGCTAATTTTTGTATTTTTAGTAGAGAAGGGGTTCCACCATGTTGGCCAGAATGGTCTTGATCTCCTGACCTTGTGATCTGCCCACTTTGGCCTCCCAAAGTGTTGGAATTATAGGTGTGAACCACCATGCCCAGCTTTTTTCTTTCTTTCTTTCTTTTTTTTTTTTTTTTTGAGATGAAGTTTTGCTCTTGTTGCCCAGGCTGGAGTGCAATGGCACGATCTCGGCTCACCACAACTTCTGCCTCCTGGGTTCAAGTGATCTCCAGCCTCAGCCTCCTGAGTAGCTGGGATTACAGGCACGCGCCACCATGCCCAGCTAATTTGGTATTTTTAGTAGAAATGGGATTTATTCATGTTGGTCAGGATGGTCTCAAACTCCTGGACTCAAGTGATCCACCGGCCTCAGCCTCCCAGGGTGCTGGTACTACAGGCATGAGCCACCTCGTCCGGCCACCAATTCTTTTTCGAGGCTTTTTCCTGTGTGGTACAACATGAACAAATGCCTCTAAATAGGATTTTGTGGCGTTTGAAATGTTTCTAATTAAATAGTCAACCATTTGAAATATACACACACATACTCCAAAGTAATATTTTTTTTTTTTTTTTTTTTTGAGACGGAGTTTTCACTCTGTTGTTCAGGCTGTAGTGCAATGGCACAATCTCGGCTCACTGCAATCTCTGCCTCCTGAGTTCAAGAGGTTCTTCTGGCCGGGCGCGGTGGCTCAAGCCTGTAATCCCAGCACTTTGGGAGGCCGAGGCGGGTGGATCACGAGGTCAAGAGATCGAGACCATCCTGGTCAACATAGTGAAACCCCGTCTCTACTAAAAATACAAAAAATTAGCTGGGCATGGTGGCGCGTGCCTGTAATCCCAGCTACTCAGGAGGCCGAGACAGGAGAATTGCCTGAGCCCAGGAGGCGGAGGTTGCGGTGAGCCGAGATTGCGCCATTGCACTCCAGCCTGGGTAACAAGAGCGAAACTCTGTCTCAAAAAAAAAAAAAGAGGTTCTTCTATCTCAGTAGCTGGGATTACAGGTGCACGCCGCCATGCCGGCTAATTTTTGTATTTTTAGTAGAGATGAGGTTTCACTATGTTGGCCAGGCTAGTCTCGAACTGCTGGCCTCAAGTAATCCACACATCTCAGCTTCCCAAAGTGCTGGGATTACAAACTTGAGCCACCACCACCCCTGGCCTTGCCTTCCTTCCTTCCCTCTTTCCCTCCCTCCCTCCCTCCCTCCCTCTTTCCTTCTTCCCTCCCTCCCTCCCTCCCTCCCTTCCTTCCTTCCTTCCCAGCCAAAATGTCAGAATTTCTGTAGTGAAATCAGGACTCCATATTTGCAACAGAGGACCAGGTGCAGCAACTCACGCCTGTAATTTAGACACTTTGGGAGGCTGAGGAGGGCAGATCACCTGAGGTCAGGAGTTTGAGACCAGCCTGGCCAACATGGTGAAACCCCATCTCTACTAAAAATACAAAATTAGCTCAGTGTGGTGGTGGGTGCCTGTAATCCCAGCTACTCGAGAGGCTGAGGTAGGAGAATCGCTTGAACCTGGCGGGCAGAGGTTGCAGTGAGCCGAAACTGTGCCACTGTACTCCAACCTGGGTTTGACAGAGCGAGACTCCGTCTCAAAAAAAAAAAAAAAGTTTAAACTCAACTATGATTTGAAGGTCGCGTGGGTGTCTGTCAACCCGAAGGCGTCTTTGCGGTTTTTTGTCGTTGTTCTTTGCAGTTTGTTTGTTGGGGTCTCACTCCGTCACCCAGGCTGCAGCTGAAGTGCAGTGGTGCGCTCTGGACTCACTGCAGCCTCCGCCTCCCGGGTTCAAAGGATTCTTCTGCCTCGGCCTCCCGAGTAGCTGGGATTACAGGCGCCTGCAGCCGTGACCCGCTAACTTCGGTATTTTTAGTAGAGACGGGGTTTCACCTTGTTGGCCAAGTTGGTCTTGAACTCCTGCCCTCAGGTGATCCACCCGCCTTCTCCTCCCAAGGTGCTGGGATGACAGGCATGAGCCGCCGCACCCGGCCGCTTCCTTGTGCTTTAATGTCCTTCCACAGATGGCAACGTCTTACAATCTGTTCTCACTACGAGGTAATTACAGGATTTATTTAAAAAATTAATTCGCTAGAGGGAGTGAGGTCCAGTCATAGGACAGAGCTTGAAGCTGCATGTTAAATGTCCACTTTTGGGGCTGCCAGGGTGTACCTGTGACTGGGCGT